CTTGGTTATGCCCTGCCATACACGTAACAAAGACCGTTCTACAGTTGACCCTCGTCGAGGTTCCACTGTATATTAATGCCTATCACACGGGACAATCATCACCATTGACGTCCTACAAAACTCTGTGGATAGACTCGTCCCTTTAGCATCCGTTGATGTAGATTACGCATGTTCTGCACGTGCATGGGGTAGCTTGGGGATGTCCAGGTTGTCCCTGGAAAATAACGGACTGTATCAAGTTGAAGTCACGTACGTCGGTCTAGACGAACCGAGTGAGTCTAAGCTTTCAACACCTCAAAGAACGCTAACAATGGAACCTGTCCATGTGCGCAGCGCCGACCCCTCGTGAACAAGACGTGCAGTGCTTCCCGACATGGACTTATGCACCTGGAAAGAATATGCAATGCTGTCTGAATTAAAATGTTTCTTTTATGCCCATTAGACAGACATGTTGTATTATTTGTTGACTTTCGTTTCTAACTGTTAAATATTATAATATGAAATGAAAGTGATGTTGCCATTGCATCAACTCGCCATTGTGATAACACAAAGTTGGAATTTCCAGATAATTTATTTTACTTTTTAAAAATTCTTATTCACGTTTAAAAAAAAGATATGATTCATATTTGAAATGTTCAATAATTAAATTGTTCTCCTAAGATAAATTTCTCCGTTTCAAAGTAAAATAGTTGTTATTTCCTAATATGTATATATTGTTATTAATCCGTAAGTTTGACAGAATTGTTTGTCAAAGTAAAAACCTTTAATTTTTCCTAATACGAATCTATTGTTAATTGATGCATCGGTTGGCCGAAGTGTTGGGTATTTTTAAAAGCAACTACACTCTACGTGTATTTCGGGGGTAAAACACAGTCGATGTATCACTGGAACGGTTATGTGTCACGTGACATAACTCAACCCATGTATCTTTGTATTGCTTCCAACATGAGTAACGTTAGATATCGAAATCTCCGCTCACGTCCTGCTAATCTCACATAACTGTTTGTAGTTCCAGCACGGGCCTAGACTATTGTTTAGGTCCGTGCTTACAGTTTATTTATTCACTCTTAAATATCTACAACTTCAGTGAATTTTTCAATCCGCTTTTCTTCAATATAATTCGTTTCGTAAACATATTCTTCTGAAAGACATAAAAAAATATACACTTAATTTTTATTATAATTCTTATAACAAACTTGGTCTAGCGGACGTTTTCCTGCTTTGTGCAGACTGGGTAAGTGTGTCAACTAATATGCAAACAATATGCAGTTTAAATTACTTTGGCATCCATCATCCGTGTTTGTTCACGGAAAGTAATTTATTACTTTGTATTTCTAAACTAATGAAACTAGTTCCTCTTTTGTCAAAGCGTTGAGTTATACCTGTCGTCACGTCTCGCATTGCGCGAGATTAGACGTTGTTTTCTCGTCAGCTCCGAGATGTGTCCTTATAATTACTGCACCTATAGAGGGCGGTAAATCAACGTATTGTGTGAACATTTGCAGTTTATAGCGCCACCTTTATTATCTAAGCAATCGTGACATGTTCAATCCGTCAAGCCGGGAGCACTGGGCGGAGAATGGACGCACACACAGCGTTCCGCGGGTATCAAGATCCTCCGATAATTGCTTTTAACGCATATGAATACATTCAACTTGCTGAGAAATTGCAATGAAAATATTGGCAATGATGAAATGTATATTTGTGAATGGATAATAATGTCAGCGTTGGAAAATGAATGGCGATCTGTAAAACCGTAACAATGGAAGATGTCCTTCGATTCTCTAATATGGACTATTGAGAAGACATGAAGGTCGCAATATTAGGTGCAAGTTTAATATCTCGGCTCTTTCCGTGAAGTGTTTCATGCTACTGACGGGAGATGAATCCCGTTGATTTGTGAACTAAGAATAATAGCGCCATGCACGTGCGCCTTATTGAATTTCCTCTCGTACCCGCTTGTATTGCAAATGCGTTTGGTAATAAAAATGCCATTTGTTCTCTATCTTAATAAACATAGTAATAAAACTACCATTTGGTGAGTATGAAGAACTGTTCCGCTTTGTGTGAGCCCCTTATGTATACAAGACAATTGGCCGTCTCGAAAGTAAGAAGCTGGGATCAATATCAACCCGTCTTAGTGCGGGAGGCGAAGGAAAGTGCCCGTTCGCTGTGTTTGCTCGTCGTGTCGACGCACCTCAATCCCACAAACTCGTATTGATTGGATAATTTCTTTTTTGACAATTTCCACCTGAAACTATCTTTCTCACGACTCCCTCAGGTAAATTCTGATTAAGACTAGCGGCTTTGTTAATGGCTAACACACCTTTCATGTCGCTAGTAAAGCCGCCCCAACAGACTCGAGTAAATACACGCACAGCTAAGGAAATTAACAACGAGATTCAGGCATTATGTCTTCAGGTCAATGCATCAGCAGAATTTATTTCGCTTTTTGGTGAAGATTTCAACTTCCGTTATTTTATCAGAAAAGCTAATCTTCCCTTTCTGTCTATTAGAAAGCTGAGAACATGGCCGACACACTTGACTGGCGCTTTGTCGGCTAATGCAGCGATAAAAGACATGGTAATGAATATAGCGCGCGGACAATCACACGGACTTGCACGATTATCAATAAAAGTTTCTTTGAAATTTTACACCTTAGTGATCACTCTTTATCGACTGGTAGCGGCTTCCGTTAGAGGCAACTCCGAGGACTTTGTATCACCGCAACAAACAAGCAGCTATTTTGTGAAGCAACACTTTACGAGGCTGTGTCGCCCAAAGAGACGCGAAAACTGAAACCGCGCGTGCGATATTAAAAGTCCCACGAGAATACCGTTTTCTAGCCAAGATCAGCTCCAAATTGTCCGAGATGGCCTATATCCCGAAATTCAAGATGGTGGCTCACGTGTCCTGCAGCCAGCTTAGCGCTTGTCGCCGTTACCGCGTTATAACGACGTGCCATGACGTGCGATGACGTTCACACCAGCAGCTGTAAGCTATGTAACAAGTGTATTTACCGTTAAACCGAACTGATATTTCACTCGGAGGTACATTAAAAGCTCGAATACATGGTTGGCCCGCGAGAGAGGCCAGCTGTTCTCTGTGTAGACAATGTTACTATGGCCACAAACGAAATTAAATATGGCTTATTTTTTTGTAAATTACTGTCACAACCCTAACACTACAATGAAAACCGGTGGTTCCAATGGAAGGGCTAAGACATTTAAGGGGGAGCAAGTCTCAGGAATATATGAGTGAGTGAGTGAGTGGGTGTGCGCTGCTCTGAACAATATTCCACGTACATCACGGCATATAAGCATGATGTGGAAGGGAAGCTCTTATAGATATGCAGGTCATTGACGTTTACCACCTCTGGGGTTCGAAGCCGTGATCATAGGACCCTGGCTCGCCATTGGGAAGTAACTCTGCACAGGGAATCGCAGCGCCTTAGCTGACTGGGCCTCCGGCCCAACCAAAAAACTGGTTATTGCAATTTAATCAGTGATTGATTCTGACCATCATATTCCTATGTTACCGGAAAGTGGAGGCAATGCGTCTAAAAAATATTGGAATAGAAATAATGAAATGAAAAAATGCTATCCTTATCACTATCAGATCGTGACCCATTCGTGACCAACTCGTGTTATTCCGGGACAAGCCGAATAGCGACTCGTACCCCTCTCATGGCCATTTTTGAGACCTGGTTCCGTCTTAGCGCAAACGGGCATACCTAAAACAATTGTCAACTCGTTGCGTAATGGTTCACATATATTTCCCCATATATCATATATAATTTAGATGCAATTTAAAGCACACTGGGACATGCGGAATTTTACAGTATGATTGACCACATTTAACTGTGTCTTGGGTATATTTTTAGATGTAAGACGTATGTTAAATTAAAATTGTTTCTGAGGGATTCTTTGACGAAGAACTTGAAATCATACGCGCATTCTGATTGGTTTGTCGTATTTTCGCACATAACATTCATCGAAAGGGGGGACGAGTCTTTTTGCAGGTGACGGAAAGGGGCGAGTGGTGACGAATGATCGTGACCCGGAAGTGACGTCACGTGACACGAGGAATACCTCGTTGTCATAACGTCAGATGAAAGGGTCGTATTTCCCTACTACTTGATACATGAAAGCTTCTACCGGATGTTTCACTTCTTGTGCCATTTCTCGGCAAAACATGGTCCAGTTTTGTTTCGTGGATACGCGCAGAGACAGAGTCAGGGGCCACAAATGAACCCCGTTGTGTATAGCCCGACCGCCGTATTGGAAACACACAGCCTATCATCTCCATAATTCCCGTTTTCAGTGGTAGTGGAATATCGTTTAATAGCTATTGTGATGCCAACTACACGATTAAACCGAATTCTCAGTGAGTTAGTGAGTGAGTGAGTGATTGAGTGAGTGTGTGAATTTGTTTCACGCCGCTTTTAGCAATATCCAGCAATATCACGACGGGGGACACCAGAAATGGGCTTCACACATTGTACCCGTGTGGAGAATCGAACTCGGGCCTGCAGCATGAGGAGCGAACGCATCAGCCACCTGGCTACCCCACTTAATTATGAAAGGTAAATCATCTGTTTTAGAGGGATTTGAGTATCAACATTCATATCGATGTACGCATGGGTCTCGGGTACCTAGACAGTGCGAGAGTCCTGTTGCAGCGACATGTGCAGTGAATGATAATTCTCATCTTTTTACATATGTACTTACATAAATGAGTGAGTGAGTGAGTATGGTTTAGCAATATTCCAGCAATATCACGGCAGTCTTTGGCGTGACGAGCGAACGCTTTAACCACTAGGCTACCCGACCGCCCCCTACACAGAAATGCAACCATGCATCGCCGAGTCACGCGCAGACACTTAAAACTGTTGCGCGTTTGTTGAAGAGCAAATTATACAACTGTCTACATGAACGCACAGTAGCATGGAATAATAATTGTTAAATATTTTAGGCATTTTGTTCCGGAGAAAGTTTAGTTTAAATGACATGATATGTGGACATGGGAGTAGATGAGACGTGGTCGTGGGTGTAGATGTAGACGTGGTCATTGGTGTAGATGTAGACGTGGTCGTGGGTGTAGCTGTAGACGTGGTCATTGGTGTAGATGTAGACGTGGACATTGGTGTAGTCTACAGTAGATGTAGACGTGGACATGGGAGTAGATGTAGACTTTGTCGTGGGTGCAGATGTAGACGTGGTCATGGGTGTAGATGTAGACGTGGTCATGGGAGTAGATGTAGACGTGGTCATTGGTGTAGATGTAGACGTGAACGTGGGTGTAAATGAAGAGGTGGAGATGAGAGTAGATGTAGACGTGGTCATTGGTGTAGGTGTAGACGCGGACGTGGGTGTAGATGTAGACGTGATCGTGGGAGTAGATGTAGACGTGGACATGGGAGTAGATGAAGACGTGAACGTGGGAGTAGATGTAGACATGGTCATGGGTGTAGATGTAGACGTGGTCATTGGTGTAGATGTAGACGTGAACGCGGGTGTAGATGTAGACGTGGTTATGGGAGTAGATGTAGACGTGGTCGTGGGTGCAGATGTAGACGTGGTCATGGGTGTAGATGTAGACGTGGTCATGGGAGTAGATGTAGACGTGGTCATTGGTGTAGATGTAGACGTGAACGTGGGTGTAGATGTAGACGTGGACATTGGTGTAGGTGTAGACGCGGACGTGGGTGTAGATGTAGACGTGATCGTGGGAGTAGATGTAGACGTGGACATGGGAGTAGATGAAGACGTGAACGTGGGAGTAGATGTAGACATGGTCATGGGTGTAGATGTAGACGTGGTCATTGGTGTAGATGTAGACGTGAACGCGGGTGTAGATGTAGACGTGGACATTGGAGAAAATGTAGACGTGATCGTGGGAGTAGATGTAGACATGGTCATTGGTGTAGATGTAGACATGGTCATGGGTGTAGGTGTAGACGTGGTCATTGGTGTAGGTGTAGACGTGGACGTGGGTGTAGATGTAGATGTAGACGTGATCGTGGGTGTAGATGTAGACGTGGGCGTGGGTGTAGTTGTAGACGTGGTCGTGGGTGTAGATGTAGAATTGGTCGTGGAGGAGATGAAGACGTGTTCGTGGGTGTAGATGTAGACGTGGACGTGGGTGTAGATGTAGACGTGGACGTGGGTGTAGATGTAGACGTGGTCGTGGGTGTAGATGTAGACGTGGACGTGGGTGTAGATGTAGACGTGGACGTGGGTGAAGATGTAGACGTGGTCATGGGTGTAGATGTAGACGTGGTCGTGGGTGTAGATGTAGACGTGGACGTGGGTGTAGATGTAGACGTGGTAGTGGGTGTAGATGTAGACGTGGTCATTGGTGTAGATGTAGACGTTGGCATGTGTGAAGCTGTAGACGTAGACATAGACGTGTGTGTAGATGTAGAGGTTGTCGTGTGTGTAGATGTAGACGTGGACTTGTGTGTAGATGTAGACGTAGACGTAGACGTGTGTGTAGATGTAGACGTTGTCGTGTGTGTAGATGAAGACGTTGACGTGGGTGTAGATGTAGACGTAGACGTGTGTGTAGATGTAGACGTGGTCGTGGGTGTAGTTGTAGACGTGGACTTGTGTGTAGATGTGGTAGAGCGTTTCATTTCTGTCACATAAGGGTTACACTGCTTCTTAGACTTCACACGCTTACCACTCTGTATGTTTCATGTGTACGAGAACTTAGTCCAGACTTCTGCAACCCTGGAAACAGAAAACGTGTATCACCGGGCAGCTGAGAATTGACGGCATCATCTGTAACACCTTCGTTGGCAGATATATGGCGCCTTAATATCCGGAAAATATCTGGTAATTTTATCAGGTGGCAACCTTGTAGACTTAAAATCTGTTTGCAATCAATCGCTTTACATCAGTTCAGACAATGTATATTATAGCATACATTACAATCATGTGGCAGAATCAGTTCGGTCATATAAGAAATGGTTTGCTATATTAGTAGTCTTGGGGGCGATGGGGTAGCCTATTGGTTAAGGTGTTCGCTCGTCACGCCGAAGCCCCGGGTTCTATTCCCAACATGGGTACAATGTATGAAGCACATTTCTTGTGTCCTTCGCCGTGATAGTGCTGGAATATAGCTACGGGCGGCGTAAAACAGTACTCACTCACTTATTAGTCTGGCATTCTGGATTCTGGACTCCATCTTTCTCTCAACTTCATCACTAGGCTAAGTATTTGTGTTAACGGTACTCAGTACAGAAGTAGCACACATCAAGCAATCACGGCGATGTCCGTCACGTGACAGCTTGCAATTGGACAGTGAGACTGTGGCTGTGTGTCCGTGGACGTTGTTATTCACGAGGTACAAGTAGTTTACACTGATGTTCTCCTTGTACCATCATCTGTCACCACTACTGTAAACACTTCAAGGACCCCTGGCCTTTCACTCAATAAATCATCATCATATCCGTTTCTTCCGAGTTCGTTCATAAGCATGACTTTACTATCTAGATCATATGTACCAAAGAAGGCCGGAACTTTCAAGTGGTTTCTTCACGGTCCCGTTCGTGCACGTTCCAAACTTTTTAAATACAATGGAGCATGCTATTTCTGCGAAGATTTCACAGAGCGTCATGTGAAGCTCAACATAATAATAATAATAATAATAATAATAATAATAATAATAATAATTCATAATTTCACATAATTTCATAATAACATTTCACATTTACATTTTGATGCAAAATCACACATTGACGGTTTCGAGTGGGAAGTGACTGGTCCTGAGCAGCAAACAGAAAGCCTTCAGTTTCACTTTTCAGGCCAGACGACTTCATCCAAGCGAAGGACTCTGCAGGATTGCTGATCTTCTCAACACACTGCACATAAACTCGATCAGAAAGCCTCTCCTTGAAAGGCACTTCGCTTGGTTGACACTCATTTCTGTACCGTCCAGCAGTACAGAACCATCAACAAAATCAACACCGACATTGAGAATAATTCCCACATCCTTGGCTCGTTTTAGAAAACTGTGGAATGCCTTGTTTTCATCATGAGTCTTAACATTATTATTATTATTATTGTTGTTGTTGTTGTTGTTGTTGTTATGTGACATGAGCAACACTCCACAAAGTTGGAGTACTATGACACGTTTAACCCAGGTCAGCGAGTCTAACCGCTCCATAAAGCTTCCCCTTTCTTCAATCATGGGACCAGTGCTTACCCGCAATCCTCATACGGGGTGTTACAAGTATCACTTTTGATTTGATATTAATTTAATTGATGGGCGGGACATTATCATCAGTTCATAAGTAATAAGTGTTCCGTTTTATTTGATAATATCTATAATTGAAGACTTCCAATAAGTTGGTGAGTCCCGTCACGTGGTCCCAGCTGTGCCGTCCTTCCCTATATCTGTTACTGCCCCCTTTACAGCGTCAGCGTAACCGGAGACCCTCACTAATTACAGGTAGATTGTAAAGCATAATGAAACAATCATACATAGCACTTAATGACATTTCATTAATATCATCTTGTGAAGGGATACATTTTATATACGAAATGATGGCATATGTCTTTCTCCTTGTTGTTACTACTACTACTACTACTACTACTACTACTACTACTACTACTACTACTACTACAACTACTACTACTACCACAAACACCACCATGGAAGGGGTATAAGAATACACGAATTAGAATTTAGAGAAATTGGCTCAACATTTATTCTTACAATTTCATTATAACTGGGTTTGAAATAGCGAGTGTCTAAATAATGTATATAGTTTTTGGGGCATTCGTTCGTATTTTATATATGATTGATTTGGTTTTAAAACTGTACGCAAAATATCGTGGCACCCCGCACAAGGACGCTAGGTGCCGGATTAGTGTCTCAAGGGACTACTTCTCCGCGGAGTGATACCCCCCAAGTATTGCCCTACCACTGCTTCCTCTGTTGTAAGGTTTTACAAGAAGCTAATGTCCACACATTGTATTTGTGGGTTTATACAACTAATCAGACCCCCTGCTGTTATCTTAATTGCTTTCCATTTTTCAGAAAATATAAATATTATCCCATCTTCAAGGGGTTTGTAATGTGATAATATTAAATCGAATGTTACTAAAGGACGGTAATGAAAATGTGAAATACGAACCTTAATCTAACTTCGATCTAATGGAGGCCCAGTGTAACACGTGTAGACTCGCGGGGGGGAGCTGGGCAAGACGGTTCACACATTGTAAGACGGGGTATGTTTTGTATTAACCAGTCCAACGTTTAATTCCAGTAATGCCCCAGTCACTGGGTGTCTTGTTTCAAAAGTCGACGTATTGAGGAACGAGCAACAGTACAGCAGCTTCACAATGGTCTGTTTGCTGTCACAGACGCCGGTTCAGTGGTGGTATTACCCAGATGCTTAGCCACACACCTTTCTATACCACTCGCCGATTGTCTTTTATCAGACTTTTATTGGTCTTTTGGCTCAATCTCATTTTGTGTTCTTTCGCTCCTCATTTCGTTTTATTTCAATCGTCATTTTCGCAGTGATGTATTTGACAATATGTTATGGTTTGGACAGTATTAATATATTGAACGTATTTAATGTGTATTTGATATTATTGTCTATAAGGATTTGCCCTATTTTGATTACTTGACAGTATGTTTTGTATTGACAATAGATTATGTGTAGGGCCGTATTGCATGTACATGTCAATGTTATAGAATATGACAGGCTGTAATGTACTGGGCTGTATTGTATGTGCATGAGAATACTGTATGTACATGTATTTGAAAATATTTATGTACATGTATATGACAATATTGTATATACATGTATGTGATAATATTGTGTTCACATTTACTTGATATTATATGAACATGCATTTGATAATATTGTATGTATATGAAAATAAGGTATGAACATGTATTTGACAATATTGTATGCACATTTTTTTGTTATTTGACAATATTGGATGTACTTGTATTTGATAATGTTTATGAACATGTATTTGACAATTTTGTATGAACGTGTATTTCACAATATTGCATGTGCAAGAAAATACTGTATTTATGGGCAGATAATTATATATATATTATGTTAGTCCTGCACCATGACCATGGAATATATTTATTTTATGAAAAAATAATAATCTAGAAATGCATACAAAAGCAAGTCTAGCCAGCTCAAGCTAGCTCTATTCTGAAATCAGCATAGGGAATTTTTATTATTTTTAGAGTCAAGAAGGATATTGTGTAATATAAGATTTCAGAGACTAAATGTTAGTCTAATATTATGTGTGTGGCAGTATTTTATAGAGTTGACAGTGTTGTACGTATCTATACATCATCTGTGGTGTGCAATCCATCTTTTCCATTCTCCAGTTGTATTGAAGCCGTGGCCACAAGATAACAAAACAAATTATTTGGCGGTCTTTCTTGTTCTTTTTTAAAAGGTTCATGTCTGTATTAGACTTCCTTTCAACTATCTTGGAACTTACGCAAACAGTTCATGTATATTTTGTGACAATAAGAATCTAGATAATCAATGAATATTTTTTTTCATCAGCTACTCTGCACCTCCTTGTAAAAGTGTTTTAGCCTGTCTAAAAGTCTGGGATAAATTGAGAGAAAGCGAAATGATCAATGCTTACTGCTAGAGGTCTACCGTCAAACGTGCGGTTATAAAGACCCGCTGAAAAAGAATCCGTGGAGTAAAATCTATCTCCCTCTGTAAATATTTAGATATCTCATAGATTGAACATAACGGCAACATTTGTTGTCCAAGCCGACACAATTGATTAAGCTGTGTGTGTTTGTTTTAAGAACGCTTGAAACAGGTTCATGCTTTCTCTATTGCAACAATCAAAGTCACACAGCGCTTAGTTAAGAATATCGAAATTAGTCAGCAAGAAAAATCGTTGCTTTTAATTATGAACAAGCATACCATGTTGTTTCGGCGCCTGAAGCCTGCGACAGCCGCGCACCTGTTACCAGGTCATTTCCGGAATGACGTCATGTCAGACTTGAGACCTGATTGGCTAATGCTGTGACAAAACTGATGATTGGTTGCTAGCCAGAGGGCAGACTAACGGGATGTGGCACCTGAGGTTATAATCGATATTGCTCCTCCCCTTTGCTAACGCTTTGTAACGCTCCCTGCCGGCCCTCCCGTCTTGTCCGTGAGTCTCTTCTCACCTGCGTCACGTCCATCTGGTCACTGTAATGAAGTCGGTTTCAGGCGTTCCTCAACTACTAATGGATCGGAACGCGAGGCGGAGCGACGAGGTCAGCACACAATGGGCGGTCGATTTCAACATTCAAATAAACTGTAACATGTTGGGCAAATGACAACAGGTTCCGCTTGGCAGCAAATGAAAGAAAAGACTTCTTTGAATTGCTGATAATTCAAGGATATAAACGGGAATCGGCTGCACGGCGCGCGGGTGTCTGCAAGGAGATGACAATATTTTATTGCACATTGGTGAAATGCGTGCATGATTATAATCGTTTGCGATCAGTTAGTCCTGTCTATTCATACAGGGAGATATTTATTTGATTGACTGAAACATCTTGCAACACGTGTTCCTCAATACAAACAGCCAGTGTATACATTGTTACCATTTGCTTCAGCGATTATTGGACTGATATTA